GGTGCTGGCAAAACTGGACATCCACCTGCAGAAAATGGTAACAAAATTCACATCTCATACTATACACAAATACCAATTCAAGGTGGATCAGACACCTACAGTGTCCAAAGTCATAAAGATTTTAAGGGTCAAAATGGGAAGAAAATTCAAAGAAGCCCTAGCCTATGGCATAAATAGCCTTGGAAACAGAGCTAACAATATTCAACCTGGAGAAGGTAAAATCGATGAATGAGACCTTCTTAAAATAAAATCCCTGTGTGAATAAAAACTTCCTCCAACAGGGTATAAAGAAAGCACACAGATTTGGGAAAGAACATTTGGCAAAGATAGTTTAGACTAAGGTCTCATAAATAAAGTTTACAGAATACTGCAGTGCCTCCACAAGCAAAATACTGATAACCCAGTAAGAAAATGAGAAAAATACATGAAAAGACTGACTTTTCTCAAAAGAGGATATTCAGATAGCTAAAAGACACATAAGGAAATGTCCAAAATCACTAGTAATAAGACAGATGCAAATAAAAACAATGAGATACTATCTCACTCCAGCAGCAGTAATGACATTTGACAACACAGTAAACAATAAATGTTGGAGAAAATGTGGGGCGACTGGAACTCTTATGCACTGTTGGCAGGATTGTAAAATTGTACAACTGTTATAAAAGGCAATTTAGCATTTCCTAAAAAAGCTGAACATATAAATCTCATATGATTCAACTATTCCACCTGTTAGGAGAATGTCCTAAGATATCAGAACTGAGACATGAATGGAAATATGCACACCTACGATCATAGCAGAATTATTTACAATAGCAAGAAAATGGAGAAAGCAAAAAAGGTCATTAAAAAACAGAGGAGAAAGGGGGAAATCTAAATGAATGTCAAAAAAGACTCTAAAAATTGCACTAGAGCACCCAAGAAGCGAAAACAAAAGAAAAGCATGCTGAAGTATAAGAGCTGAACAGAAGATTTCAAAGGGCAGCTTGAGAGGACAGAGCAAAGTATTGTAATATGCAGAGAGCTGGGATTGGAGAATAGAAAGGGATAAGA